ACTTGACTGCTAACCAGAAGGCTGGCAGTTCAAACCCACCAGCCACTCCTCGGAAGGAAGGTTGGGCAATCTACTTCCGTAGTGATACTGACTCGGCAACCCGACTCGATGGCACATAACAACAACAACAATGAAATCGGTAGTTTACAATTGTGGTACACTGGCTGATTTGAATACATAATATAGTAAATCTTAATACATTATCTAAATTATCTTACATTTTTCTTTAGCTATTAGATGCATATTTTAATAGAGCATCTAAGGAACAGAAAGATAAATTTCTGAAGAATCGAGGCTTTTCCTTGTTAGCCAACCAGCTGTATCTTCATCGGGGAACTCAAGAATTACTAGAATCCTTCATTGAAATGTTCTTTGGTCGAAGTATTGGCTTTGATGAAGAGTAAGTGTGTACTTCCTTCCACCATAATTGAGGATCTTTAAGTTTCAATCTTATTTGTAAAATTTAATGAACTCATTCTTAAAATTACTTGGTTACCTTTAGGGAAAAACAAAAAAAAGTTAAAAGTAATTTCCCAGATGAATCAATTCATTGTTTTCTGTATGATATTCTTTGTCATATAACTTGCTCCTTTGTATTTCATCCTTTAGCTAGAAATCAAAAACAAATTAATGCTGCATTAAATGAAAAAATTTGACATGTAGTATTAACATGAGGTGACCATGAGTCACTCGACTGGACTACAAGTGGTTTGTTATTGTGTGGTTAATTAGAAAGAAAGGTGGCTCCTGTAGTCTCAGTGACTCATTACATGAGGGATCCTTCGAGGAACTCTCCTTGAAGCCCTTAGATTATCCTAGAGTAGAGTGATAGTATGAATTACTTCCTAGAATTTCTGTGTGTAGTGATTGCTGAGATTTGACCCCAGTGTAATGCTGAAGGATTAGCAAATTATTATGATAATAAAAGAATATTTTCTCCCAAACCAAGTTGGACAGAAAAAGTTACTGTTATTTCTGTCTATGACAGAGTAGAAAAAAATGTCTCCTTATTATAGTAGAAATATTTTGATCCTTGAGGAATTGTTAATTGTGGTAATGCCAGTACAGCAGTACTTTTCATATGCATACAGCTTTTGGTCTTTCAAAGCAATTCTACCTTACCTCATTTGATTCTCATAGCAGTCTTGAGAAAAAACTCAAATATAATTACCTGTATTTATCAGGTAAAGAAAATGAAGCATAAAATGATTAAATGATTTCCCTTCGTCACAGAGATAAGCAGAATTTGGACAAGTACTCAAGGTTCATTCCTTTGCTAGGCCTCTTTTTTCTAGCTCATTGTACTTGTTATGTAAGCCCCTTAAAGCAAGGGTTTTTTAATATTGTGATTTAGGTGAAAATTTACAGAGCAAATTAGTTTCCCATTCAGCATTTTATACACAGACTGTTTCATGACATTGATTGCAATCCCAACAATATGTCAGCACACACACCCCCATTTACTTTGGGTTACCCATTTCTGTTTACCCAGTTCTTCTGCCCCTTTCTGTCTTCTTCACTTTGCTTTTGGGCAAATGCTGTCCTTTTGATCTAATATAGTTGATCGTTATGAGGAGCATATTCCTCCCGGGTGTTATTGTTTACTCTATAAGCCTGCCGTTTATTGCCTTAGAGGTGATTTCCAGGAGTGGCTTTGGTTCTAAGAAGGGTATCTAAGGGCCATAGTTTTAAGGATTCTTCTGGTCTCTAGCAGACCAATAAGTCTGCTCTTTTCTTTGAATTTGAATTTTGTTCTGCCTTTTTCCCTCTCTTCTATCTGGTACCTTCTCTGATTCTAGTTTGAGCAGTTGTTAGTGGTAGCTAGGCACCATCTAGTTCTTCTAGTCTCTGGTTAGTAGAAGCTGTGGTCATATGGTCCATTAGTCCATCAGATTAACAGTTTCCTTGAGTCTTTGATTTTCTTTACTCTTCTTTGCTCAAGATGGAAGGAGACCAATGGAGATGGCCACTTAACAAGTTTTTAAGACCCCAGTTGCTACTCACCAGAGTAGGATTTAAAATATTGTCTTTATGGACTATGTAATGCCACTTGACCTAGATGTGCCCTGAGAGTATCATCCTTATGCCTCAAGCTCAGTATCTCAGTTCTAGGAGGTATTTGGTGATGGCTAAAAGGTTTTCCTGACTGTGTCCCAAAGTCTTTGGACACTTAATGATGACTTAAAGTGAGTTACTTAACTCTGTGAAATTGTATAAAAAATTTTGAATCTGAATGTTTGTGTATTCTTGGAATGGACTCTTAGCAAGAGCTTTTAATTTTTTACATTTTTTAATGTATAAAAAGGTTAACAGCTCTTGTTCCCCAAATTTATTTTTTATATCTTGAAAATCAGGTTTTTTTAAAAAAAAATCTGGCATAGTTACAGTCACTCTTCTTTATTTTGTGGTTAATTGATTACTAATATATTCTTAATTGTGTATTATTTATTATAGATTTGATCTGGAAGATGTGAAAAATATGGGACTTTTTCAGAAGTGGTCTATCATTCCGATTCTAGGACTAATAGAGACTTCTCTATATGACAACATACTCTTGCATAATGCCCTTTTACTTCTTCTCCAAATTTTAAATTCTTGTTCTAAGGTAGCAGATCTGTTGTTGGATAATGGACTACTATATGTGTTATGCAATACAGTAGCAGCCCTGAATGGATTAGAAAAGAAGTAAGTTTTTAATTATTATTTAAATTATATTCTGGAAATAACTTAGAAAGAGAAAACCTTAATAATAGGTTGCATTAAAGCATCTGATTTTTAAAAATACTCTCAAAGAATGTCTTTCCCATAAAATTGATTAGATATAATCACTTTGGCAAGAGTATCATCATTTTCAAGAAAGTTTGGTTAAAAGTTTTTTATATGACCTATGTTTATATATTTGGGAGCTCTGGTAGCATAGTGCCTAAGGCACTTGACTGCTAACCAGAAGACTGGTGGTTCAAACCTACCAGCCACTCCTTGGAAGGAAGATGGGGCAATCTATTTCCATAGTGATACTGCCTCAGAAACCCAAGGAGGGGTCACTATGAGTCGGGTCCGACTCAACGGCATGTAACAACAACAACAATGTTTATATATTTAGAGATTGAAGATAAGTAGAATAAATTTAATTGCCCTCAAAATATATTTACCAAGCTTTCACCATAGTCTTGTAAACAATGCTGATTTTAAGATAAAAATGAGAGCTAACCAATGTTGAGCATTTATTGTGTGCCAGGCACATAGTTTTGCTTATATTATATTCACACAGCAACCCAAAGTACTGTTATTATCCCCATCAGGAATAGGAAAATGAGGATAAGAGAGATACAGTAATTCACTGAAGATCATGTAGCTGGTAAATAGTAGAGGACTTGAGACAACTGAAAGTGGTCTCACTTCTAAAGCCCGTATTTCGAACTCACCATGCTATCTTACAGTTAGCATACTATATCACTGTCTCCTACCATAAATTAATTTCTAATAGCTAGAAGTCATGTTGGCAAATGGCTGCCCACCAAATTGATTTACAATTTATAAAATATGTCAGATTAGATTTTTATTTAGATTTTGTGTCTTTAGTATCTAAATTTATGATGTATTGTAGAACATTTTTATTAGTATGATGTTAAAACATATATTTCCAGAGCAAGAACACAAGAAACCCCACGTTCTTGCACATTAAAGTATTAAGTATTTTTTGTATTTTTGTATTTATATTTTTTTCAGAACACGCAGATCATATCCTTACTGATTCTCTAGGCCAAAGGAAGATTTCCTGTACTTAGCTCAAATTTTATTGAGCATCTGTTACATTTAGGGTCTGTATGTTAGGCACATGGGAAATACAAAGAAATGTAAGGTATTATATTTCCTCAAAATAGTCTTGGCTGTAACATAGTGTATGAAATTGATAGAACTTGGAAAAAGTATCTACAGGCTTGTTCTGAAGGGTTTTTTTTTAATTAGTTGTATTTACTAAATGTCTCTGTATGCTACTCTATCACCTACCCAAAGACAACCATTTCTAACCCTTGTTTGATTTGGATGAAGTACATGGAGAGAAGTATTTAGGCTTTATATCACACATTGAGGTAGATTATCAGAGTGAAAAATTGAAGGGAACAAATTCATATTTATCTAGTATTTATTAAGTGATTAACATGTCTTTAAATGTTTTCTAATCATTAAAATAATTATAATTTATAAAATGATGTTCAGTGAGATTGATTGATTTATTCAAATTCACCATCTCTGAGAAGCCTTTTCAGAATGTTACTACTGGCACCCACATGATCTTTACCTTTAGTGCAGGCTAGTAATCTGCCCAAATTAATCTTTATTGTAGTATTTACTGCCATTTACTATTTATAATTATCTCTATTCATCTAGTCTTCTGCAAGACTATAAACTTTTTGACAGGAGTCTAAAGTATGTCATCTTTCTACTTCCAGCATGATTTTAATACTGAAAAGTCATTTGACATAGAGTAAGCATGAATAAATATTGAATGAATGGAGGAATAAATTAATTAATGAATGCTGATAGCACAGGAATTTGAACCCACTTTTCTTTGTATTACATAACTTGTTCTTTTTCTTATGAATGTTCTTTTTCTTTTATCTTTAGCGTTCCTTTGAATGAATACAAATTGCTTGCTTGTGATATACAGGAACTTTTCAAAGCAGTTACAATTCATGCTTGCAGTTCCTCGGGCTCACAATATTTTAGGGTCATTGAAGACCTTATTGTATTGCTTGGATACCTTCAAAACAGCAAAAACAAGACAACTCAAAGTAAGATTGAATTTTTATGAGTCTAGAGAGTGTTAGCTGTGTAGTAGCCAAACATGTTATTTGAACCTGATCTTCTTTTTCTTAGGAACTCTTTCACTGAATGTGTTTTAATTTTGTGATCATCTATTAGCTGTTTTTTTAAAAAAAGAAGCCTTTTTAAGTGGCAAAAATAGAAAAAGTGATACCTTAATGTAATACCATGAAATAAATTTGTGGGCTAATATTTTTCCATTGAATTTTGCATAGTGGCCATCTGGAAATTTGCTTTTAAAAATAGTTTTAAAATATTTATTATCATCAAGAACCCATATTTAGCAACATTTTTAAAATTTATATTTTTTAAGATAATAAAGCATTATTGGCAATTGAGATATTACGTGGATATAAAAATAAGTTCAGTTTAAAAATTAACAACCACATAGGTTTAAAACAGTCTAGTATCTTCTGTTTTTAGCTATGGCTGTTGCACTACAGTTTAGAGTTCTACAGGCTGCTATCGAGTTTATAAGGACCACTGCAAATCAGGACTCTGAAAACTTTATGAATTTATTCCAGTTACCTTCTGCTCCACATCATGCACTATTTCAAAAGCAGAAAGGCATTGCTGGTGAGTACTGAAATAATATCTTAATAATCATAAATGGAAGATAGCTTTACTTTCCTATATTATGATACTATTCACATTTTTAAATATCTGGTGGCATAGTACCTAGGGCATTTGACTGTTAACTAGAAGCCTGGCAGTTCAAAGCCACAAGCCACTCCTCAGAAGGAAGACTAGGAAATCAACTTCCAAAGAGATACTGCCTCAGAAACCCAAGGAGGGGTTGCTATGAGTCAGATCTGACTCGATGGCTGTGAGTTTGGTTTTTTTTTTATTTTTTTTTTAATGTAAAAAGTTAACCCATGAGTTTTAAGAACATTTTCCTCCCAGAGGAAGCTATTCAGCTGCTTTCTTTTAGTGCTGTTCTCATTGAATTAATCATCTACCATGTGCCAAGCACTGTGCAAAGTGCTGGATGTACACTGAAGAACGAAACAGACACAGGGGCCTAGGGACTCAGGACCATAGTCTCAGGGGTCATCAAGGTCAATTAGCAAAGCATAGTCTACAAAGACAGTATTCTACATCCTGCTTTGATGAGTAGTGACTGGGGTCTTAAAATCTTCTAAGCAGCCATTTAAGGTGCAACTATTGGTCTCTCCCCAGCTGGAACAAAGAAGAGTAAAGAAAATCAAAGATGCAAGGAATTTAGTCCATTGGACTAATGGACCATACATACCTCAACTTCCATGACCATGAGGTCAGAGGAACTAGATGGTGCCCAGCTACCATTGCTGACCATTCCAAAAGGAATCACGATAGGAAGTCCTGGATCAAGTGGGAGAAAAATGTGGAATAAAACTCAAAATAATTAGAAAGATCAGGCTTACTGGTCAGAGAGAGACTAGTAGAACCCCCAAGACTATGGCCCTTAGACACCCTTCAAGCCATGGCTGAACTTTCAGCCAAACAATAGACAGGCCTATAAGGTGAATGGTAACACCAGAGAGGTATGCATTCCTTAGAACAATCAATCATACAAGATCAAAAGGGCAGCGTTTGCCAAGGGATAAAGTTCAGAAGGGAGATAAGGATAGGAAAGAAGAACGAATGGAAATGGTTAACACAGGATGTGGAAGAGTGCTGTTATATTGTGAGGATTGCAATCAATGTCACAAAACAAAAGTGTGTATATATTGTTGAATAGAAAACCAATTTGCTCTGTACTTTGACCCTCCCCAAAAAAAATTTCCCAGGGAGACTCAGGTTAGCCCCTGAGTTTTATACAGTGACAATACTCAAAAGGTTTCACTTGGAATAATAAATGAAGTTTTCCACCAGGACGTTTTTGCTGAGCCCACATCTGAGAAACAAGGAACATTATCCTTCTAGTCCAAATTATGGATTTTGTACTAGAGATCCTTATAATTTCCTCTGTCACTTATTTATTTCCATGCTTTTCACTCTTTCCTTGAAGACCTGCCCATACATACTCCAAAGAGTCTGCTCCCACAGTCCTTGCTGAATGGACACATGACCTAACTCCCTTGCCACACAGGTATTTGCCTCAGGAGTAGTCCCTACTCAAACTAAGCCAATCAGACTGTCTCGTGGGTACTGGAATTGGGGTTTTTGAGATGCTATTGAGCATCTGTTGGATTTTTACAAAAAGAACTGAAATCAAGTCAGTAATGGGGACATTGGGTTATGCTGTTGTGCCAAGAAGTGGAAAGAATTGGCCAGGGGACACGAGAAAGTAGAGAGGAGAGCAGAATGATGACCATATGCAGAGAGAAGAGGGACAAGAAACCAATTGATTTAAGAGAAGCCAAGAGAGAAACTTTGACCTTGCCTTCTCAGTTACTATTTCCTATCTTTTGTGAATAATAGTTATATTCTCTGATCTTTCATTTCATTGTTGTTATTGTTGTTGTTAAGTGCCGTCGAGTCGTTTCTGACTCATAGTGACCCCATGCACAGCA